CCCATCCCCACGATAGGGCTCCTTCTCCTCTTGGGTGCACGATGGACAAGCCCCTTCGCAAGCAGAGGAGCAACCAGGGACATCTCCCACCTTCCAGCTGTTGGCCAAGTGGACCTCATCGGTGGCCCGTTGGCCATCGCTGGTCACGAAGTCATCGTTGGGGTCCCCGTTGGCGTTGCCGCAGAGGCCGCAGACGGCGCCGGCGTAGGCCATGGGGAGGAGGACCCGGGCGTAGCTGTACCAGTCGAAGCTCACCCTTAGGCCAAAGGCGGTGCGGGCAAAGCCATGGACACCACTGTGGTAGAGCTCGAACTGGTCCCTCTTGGTGAAGGGGAGCTCCACGAAGGCACCGTTGACCTGGGGAGGTGGGGGGAGAAGGGTGGTGGTGGGCCCAAGCTCATGCAACCTGCCTGAGATAGGGTTTGGGTTGGAGGAGGCCTTGGAGGCCACCTGAGGACATGGGCACCTTCCACTGGACCGGGTTGCTCCCATTCATCTCAATGGGTTCATCCAAACCTCCTCAGTTCAACCCATCCCGATGTCCCACCACCCTCCTAATGGAAAACCCCCTTAGATCCCATTTACCAGCCTCCCTCTTCCATTTGGAAGCTTTCTCCTCATCCCACCCCTCCACCTCCTCAAAGCCCCTTCCCATCTTCCCCATAGCCCCTTTAGGCCTTGGGGGTCCTTTTGGGAGAGGTTTCCTGCTCCGGTTCCACCCAGAGCTTCCCACATGGAGAGCTCCCAGTCCCGACCCCGATGCCTTGGGATTGGGGTGGTTTCCATAAGCCAGGAATGGCTTCCAGCCAAACCCAAGTGAGCCAAGACCTAGGGGAGGTTGCGAAACCCTTTCCCATGGACGCGGTCCCCAAGAGCATTGGGGTTGCTCAAGAGCTGGATGCTCTCCAGGTGGAGGCTTCGCTGTTCAATGGGAGAACATTGGTCCAAGAGGGAAACCCAAGGGAAAAGCTGTTCCCAACCATAGTGATGCACACTTGGGCTTGGGCAAGGTGAGAACGGAACCGTTCCCATAGGAACTGAGTCACTTTGCAGCTGGAGAAAGGGAATGGAAAGCCAAGGATGATGGGATATAGGATGGGTTTTGGTGGAAAAATGAGCAGAAAAAGGGGTTTTTGGGGCAGGGAATACACATTTTCCATGCAGGTTGAACGTGGGTTTGGTGGCCACCTACCATGACCTTGCGTGGATGCTCCTGGCTCATGGTGATGACGTCGCCATAGACCTCCAAGGTGAGGGTCTTGGTGAAGGACACGGCTTTGCTGCCCCGGTTGTTGTTCTCCACCTTGACGGTGAATGGGACCAGTTTGGGGTCCCTTTGGTTGCATAGGGCGGCAAACTGGTAGATGCAGGTCCCTTGGAAGTCGTATCTCAGCCCATCGAAGGTGGTGTAGTGAGGGTCACCCGTCCCGATGCACGTGAGGTGCTTCATGGCCTGGCACCTTGGGACGCCATTGACCACCGTGCACTTCTCATGGGCTTTACACCCCTTCTTCCTACAGGTCACTTGGCCACCGTGGCACCCACACCAGCTTTGGCACGTGCCATCGCCCCAAAACTCCTCTTGGGCCTTGTAGGGGACCCCGTTGTGGACACACGGACAGGTCTCCATTGGGACGCAGGTGCGGTTGTGGAGCACGAAGCCATCGTTGCAATGGCACCCCGGGGTGCAGGGTTCAGTGCAGGAGGTGGGAGCTGTGGGGTGGGTGCAGGTGGGAGGACACCCGGTGCCACAGGCCTCAAAGTGGCTGTTTTGGGGGCATCTTTGAGCTGTTGGGGTGAGAGGGGAGAAGAAGACCTCAAACTAAGCATGGAGAGGGGCAGCGCTGGAGGTGCTGGCTCAGATGATGCCTACAAGGGAGCCCAAGCCCAGGAGATGCCCCTCAAGGAAGCCCTACATAGGTGATGGGTTGAAACTGGGTTATGGGGTGGTTCGGCATGGGAAGAGCAACCCAACCCTTCGTTGATGCTGGTTGACATCAACTTGGTTGACACCTCCAAGCCTCAACTCAATGGGCCGGGCTTGGATCCCCATGAGGAGATGTCCCCTCCAGTGCTTGGAGACCCCATAGGAACTCACCACACGTGGCCTGCAGCATCTCCTGGCCTCCACAATCCTCTTGGCATGGGGCCTCTCTCCAGCTTTCAGCCCAATCCCCCATGGTAGCAGCTTGGGTGCCATCAGGAAGCCTCATCTCATCCTCAGGGTCCTCATTGAAGTTGCCACAGAGGCCACAGGTAGCCCCGAAGTAGCTGCTGGGCACGGCCACCATTATGGCCCAGTCTTCGTCGTAGGTCACCTGCAGGCCAAAGGCTGTTTGGAGCATGGGCCTCCCTTCGTTTCGGGAGATCCGGATCTTCCCAGCTTCCAACGTGGTGGGCACGTGGATGGGCTTGTTGTTGACCTTGGAGGACAGGAGAAGGAGAAGGTTGGTTGGGCACCTCTGAGCCCCAAACCCCGTTTCGTGGTGGTTTTATGGCCTTAAACCTGCTTTTTCCCTGATTCTAACCCAAAAGTGGCCATGGTTTGGTTGGTGGCACCTCTGGTGGCATCTCAGTGGGGTTCCAAACCCGCTTCCCTTCACCCCTACGCCCCAGTTCTCCATGGTTCTGGTAGTTCTCCATAGGTTCCGGTGCCACCCTCACCCACCACCACGCTTGACCCTCTCCCACTCGGCTTCGCCCATGGGATCCCACATCCAAGACCTGGCAGAACCCACCTGGATTCTACCTCCTTCCCCTGCGTGGATGGAGATGTTGGACCCGTACACGTAGACCTTGCTCCACCACTCCTTGACGTTGCCTTCGCTCTTCTTCTCCTCCACGACGAAAGGCACCAAGGTGGGGTCGTTGCCACAGGACTTGGCGATGGTGTAGGTGCAGCCACCGCGGATGTCCATGGTCATCCCGTCGAAGGTGTGGTACTGCAAAGCCTGGGAGCCCATGCAGGTGCCCATGTAGTCATGGGTGCAGGTGGCTACCCCCTTCTCCAACTTGCAGGTCTCCTTTGCGCGGCACTTGAGGAGCCGGCAGGGATCTGGAAGGAAGCACACGTGGGGTCCATGGGGAGAGGGATGGGGACAGCATCACCAGCACCATAGGGGGTCAACCAGCACCTCCAAGGTCTGGGCTTCACCATCTGGGTTGACCACATGTGGCCACCATCACCATAGGTGGCCAACCAGCACCTCCAGGGCTTGGGTTTGACCATCTGGGTTGACCACTTGTGGCCACCATCACCATAGGTGGGCAACCAGCACCTCCAGGGCTTGGGCTTGACCATCTGGGTTGACCACTTGTGGCCACCATCACCATAGGTGGCCAACCAGCACCTCCAGGGATTGGGTTTGACCACATGAGTTGACCACTTGTGGCCACCATCACCATAGGTGGCCAACCAGCACCTCCAAGGCTTGGGCTTGACCATACGGGTTGACCACTTGTGGCCACCATCACCATAGGGGGTCAACCAGCACCTCCAAGGCTTGGGTTTGACCATCTGGGTTGACCACTTGAGTCTCCTTCCATTGATAGACCATTGATCTACGGATCATTGATGGATCCCAACCTATCTCAGGTGGGTTTGGCCACCTAAAGGAAGCAGAAAGGGGTTGAAGAAGGTGACCATGGGACACTCACCACTGTCGCAAACAGCCGCCAACCCATAGGCTCTCTGCTCCCGGATGCCCACGCTCAGCAACCCAAAGGGGGACCCCTCATTCTCCACCCTATGGACCGAGAACTGGTTCCCCAAGCCCTGCTCAGCCCAGGAGTAATCGGTCCCTGGGACCTTCTTCCACACCAGGTTCCTCAAGGGGCTCTTGTTGAGCATCATGGAGGACGTCTCCGAGGTCTTGGCAATGAGCAGGGCGTAGTTCTCATACCCATCCAGAGCGATGGCGTTGTAGGAGTGACAGTAGCTGGAGACATCTGGGATGGTCATGAAGAAGGGGTCGTAAGAGATGGACCCCTTGGTACCTCCATCGGCAAAGAAGATGACCTGGATGCCAGCATTGGCCGACAGGTACAAGGTGTTGGATGCTTGGAGACCATAGAGCGTTGACCTGCTTGGCCGTAGCTCCCGGACCTCCTTGAGGACCCCGTGGTGAGACTCCACACGGGTCCTCTGCGAGGTGGACACGTAGACGATGTCCGCTTGGGTCTCAAAGGGCAACGGGGGCACGATGAAGGTGGTTCCCCAGTTAGAAACCGGTTGGAGCTGCTCCACCAAATGGTCGCATTGGGTGAACCTGGCCAAGCAAGTGTGACCGGTGAAGACGGCCACGGGTTGCTGGGCCACGATGCGGGTACCGGATAGATCAGATGGGCTTTGGAGCTGGGCTGCTTGGAAAGGCTCCAGGTTGATGGTAAGGACCGAGCCCCGAGGGTAGGCCCGGCCTTGGTAGGTCACCGTGGCCTTGAGGTGGACGTCAACCACGGTGGCTTCACCCCATGAGACCACCACGAACTCCCCATAGCGGTCGGTGCCCACATTGGGGGTCACAACGTGGTACTCGGTGCCCCAAGCGTGCACCGGGTACACGGCGGTGGAGTCCACCGAGGTGGGCTTCTCGTTGACCATGACCACGGAGATGGCGTTGGTGGCCTTCACCACCACGGTGTTGTCGAAGGCTTTGCTCCCGACCATCTCTGCTTGAGGGGGGATCTTCACCAGGATGGTTTGGCCGGTGGTGGCCTGCACCGTCATCCTCAGAGCAGGCTTCTTCATGGAGATGGTGATGGAGGTGAAGGGGGAGCGACCGGTGAGGAGCAGCTTGAAGTCGCTGTGGAGGGTCTGCTGCAGCCCGTTCTGCATGAAGGCCACCACGAAGTCTTCTCCAAGGTGGGGTGAGGAGGAGGAGGAGGAGATGAGCAACCAGAGCAGCACTGGAAGAGGAGGGTTGGACACTGGGGTCTTTGTGAGACGTAAGGGTAAGGGGGGGAATGGGGCTCAAGGTGGGCTTGAGGTGGACGTTGGTCTGATGGGCATTGATCTGATGGACATTGATCTGATGGGCATTGATCTGATGGGCATTGCTCTGATGGACATTGATCTGATGGGCATTGATCTGATGGGCATTGATCTGATGGACATTGACCTGATGGGCATTGATCTGATGGGCATTGACCTGATGGGCATTGATCTGATGGGCATTGATCTGATGGACATTGATCTGATGGGCATTGATCTGATGGGCATTGATCTGATGGACATTGACCTGATGGGCATTGATCTGATGGGCATTGACCTGATGGGCATTGATCTGATGGGCATTGATCTGATGGACATTGATCTGGTGGGCATTGATCTGATGGGCATTGATCTGATGGACATTGATCTGATGGGCATTGATCTGATGGGCATTGATCTGATGGACATTGACCTGATGGGCATTGATCTGATGGGCATTGACCTGATGGGCATTGATCTGATGGGCATTGATCTGATGGGCATTGATCTGGTGGGCATTGATCTGATGGACATTGAGCTGATGGGCATTGATCTGATGGACATTGATCTGGGCATTGATCTGATGGGCATTGACCTGATGGGCATTGATCTGATGGACATTGATCTGATGGGCATTGACCTGATGGGCATTGATCTGATGGGCATTGATCTGATGGGCATTGATCTGATGGACACTGATCTGATGGGCATTGATCTGATGGGCATTGATCTGATGGGCATTGATCTGATGGGCATTGATCTGATGGACATTGATCTGATGGGCATTGATCTGATGGGCATTGACCTGATGGGCATTGACCTGATGGGCATTGATCTGATGGGCATTGACCTGATGGGCATTGATCTGATGGGCATTGATCTGATGGGCATTGATCTGATGGGCATTGACCTGATGGGCATTGATCTGATGGGCATTGACCTGATGGGCATTGATCTGATGGGCATTGATCTGATGGGCATTGATCTGATGGACATTGATCTGGTGGGCATTGATCTGATGGGCATTGACCTGATGGGCATTGATCTGATGGGCATTGATCTGATGGACATTGATCTGGTGGGCATTGATCTGATGGGCATTGACCTGATGGACATTGATCTGATGGGCATTGACCTGATGGGCATTGATCTGGTGGGCATTGATCTGATGGGCATTGACCTGATGGGCATTGATCTGGTGGGCATTGATCTGATGGGCATTGATCTGGTGGGCATTGATCTGATGGGCATTGATCATTGAACTCACCCCAGACCATCCTGGTGCAGCCCCCCAGGACACCACCTTCACCCCGGGCCATGGTTCTGCTGCTGCAGAAGAGGGGAAAATGATCAAATCCTTTGATTTCTGCCCAAAATGGGACTTCTCTTCGCCCCATGGCTTGAGGTTCTGAGCCTGGCTCTGGTGGCACGGGTGGACCTCTTGCTATTGGGGTCGCTGCCCTTTTCCCTTGCTTGTTTTGCCCATTTTCCCCCTCTTTTCCCCCAATCCCCCCTTTCTTCCCCCATTCCCACTTTTCCCTTTCCCCTTCCTCCCTCTTTCCCCCTTTCCCTTCCCTTCTTTCCCCCTTTATCCCTTCCCTTCTTTCCCTATTTTCCCCTCTCTTTCCCCTTTTTCCTCCCCTTCTTCCCCCTTTCCCCTCTTTCCCCCCTTTCCCTTCCCTTCTTTCCCCCTTTATCCCTTTCCCCCCTTCTTTCCCTATTTTCCCCTTTCCCCCTTTTCCTTCCCTTCTTTCCCCCTTTTCCCCTTTTTTCCCTTTTCCCTTTATCCCTTTCCTCCCATTCCTTCCCTATTTTCCCCCCTCTTTCCCCCTTTCCCTTCCCTTCTTCCCCCTTTCCCCCTTTATCCCTTTCCTCCCCTTCTTCCCCTATTTTCCCCTCTTCCCCCTTTTCCCTTCCCTTCTTTCCCCCTTTATCCCTTTTCTCCCCTTCTTCCCCATTCCCCCCTCTTTCCCCCTTTCCCTTCCCTTCTTCCCCCTTTCCCCCTTTATCCCTTTCCTCCCCTTCTTCCCCTATTTCCCCCTTTTTCCCCTTTTCCCCCCCTATTCCCTCCCCTCCATTCCCTTCTTACTCCTTTTCCCTTCCATCCCCATTCCCCCCCTTTTCCCCCCTTTCCTCCCCTATTTCCCCCTTTCCTCCCCTTTCCCCCCATCTTCCCCTCCCTTTCCCCCTTTCCCCATCCTATTCCCTTTCCCCTTCCCTCCCCTTCTTCCCCCTTTTCCCCTTCATCCCTTTCCTCCTCTTTCCCCCCTCTTTTCCCTTCCCATTCCCACCCCATTCCCTTTCCTCCCCCTTTTCCCTTCCCATTTTCCCCTTTTTCCCCCTTTTTTTCCCCCTTTCCCCCCCAGTCCCATCCCAGCCCCAATCCCAGCCCCAATCCCAGCCCCAATCCCAGTCTCTGTGTGGGGCTATGGAATTCCTAAGGAATTTCCTGGCTCCATTCCCATCCTTTCACCCATCACTGCCAAATCCCGCCCGGTTTTAACCCAATCTGGAGCTTTTACCTTGCTTCCGGCCCCAAAATCCACGGTTTTAGCCCCAAATCCCGACCCCGGCTCCTCTCTCAGCCCTCCTGCTTGTGCTTGGATTCCCGTTTTGGGATCAAACTCCCTCTAAACCGGGACAAACACCAGGGACCCCAGGGAGCGACCCGCCCACCCGCTGCTTTGACATCACTTTTGGCTGCCAGAATGGGTTAAAAAAGCTGGGATTTGGTTCAAACCCCCCCGAGGGCCAAAAAAACAGCGGAATTCCCGGAATTCCTACATAGGGATTGGGGGGGGGGGGGTTCCCGGATGGGTTGGGATGGTCCAAAATCACAAGGAGGGGGGGATCAGAGGGGGTTTGATGCTAAAATGGGGCTAAAAAGGGGGAAAAAGGGGAAAAAGGGGAAAAAAAGGGAAAAAGGGGAAAAAAAGGGGGAAAAAGGGGAAAAAAGGGAAAAAGGGGGAAAAAAGGGGGAAAAAGGGGAAAAAAGGGGAGGGATATTCCCAAATTATCCCATTGGGGGGTGTTTGTCCATTGCATGTGATGTGCTGGGGGGGTTGTGTGTCGTAGGCATGTCAGAGCGTGTTGGGGGTGCAATGTATGGGGGCTATCGTAACCCCACTTTTGGGGGGTGAAAAAGTTCCATTTTAGGGGAAAAAAATCCCAATTTGGGGATGTTTTTCCTGGAATATGTGAATTTTCCCCTTCAAATGACTCATTTTGGCTTTTGGCACCGAAAATAACCCTTAAATTTGGGTCCAAAAAAAGGTGGAAAATCAGAAATCTGAGCACCAAATAAAAAGGGAAAAGCATGAATCTGAGCACAAGGAAGAGGGAAATCTTAAATTTGTTGTAAATTTGGGCCAAAAGAAGGGGAAAAATCACAAATTTGAGGACAAAAAAAGTGGGGAATTGTAAATTTGTTGTAAATTTGTGTGCAAATAAGGGGGAAAACCACAAATTTGAGCACAAAGAAGGGGAAAATCTTAAACTGGTTGTAAATTAGAGCAAAAAGAAGGGGGAAAGCCCAAATTTAAGTACAAATAAAGGGGGAAATAATGAATCTGAGCACAAAGAATGGGAAAATCTGTGTATTTATTGTAAATCCATGCAAAAAGAAGGGGAAAATTGTAAATTTGTGCCCAAAAAGGGAAAAATCCCAAATTTGAGCACAAAGAAGGGGGAAAATCATCAATTTGAGCATAAAGAAAGGGGAAAATCAGGCATTTGAGCACAAAATGACCCAAAATGGGTTATTTCCACCCATTTTGTCCATCCCCTCCCCAAATCCCATGGCCACAAGTTGGAAGTGATGAGGACCCAGAAGCCACCATGTCCCAAGTGCTCTAGTGGAGGTTGATGCATCCCATTGGGTCCAATGCATGGTGAGGACACCAATGGGTTCTTCTGGCCCAATGGGTTTGATGGAGCTGTTGGAAGAAACCAAGACCTCAAAGGGATGAAAACTGCCTCAATTGTCCCTTTTCCTGAGGTTTTCACCCCAAAACCCACCTTACAACCAGCAGCTGTCGCTCTCGGGCACCTTGGGCGCCTCGGTTGGGACCCCGGGCACCTTGAAGTCATCCACTTGGAAGACCCATCGCCCCGGGACGTTGACGTTGGAGCTCTTGGTGATGTTGAGGATGGCTTCCGTTTGGGAGCCAGGGATGTTGTAGAAGTTGGTGTCATCTCCACTGTTGAAGCCAGCCTGGAAAAGGGGCCAACAAGGGGGATGCAGGAGGTGGATCCCACCCATGGCATGGGACAACCTCCTATTGGTGGTGGTGGTGGTGGCCGCCCAATCTGTGTTATGGGGCACGGCCAGTTCTTCACCCATAAACCTCTATTTGGGCATTGTCCTCTACAAGTATGGGTCAAAGATGGCACCGACCTTCTCCCCCGTTCCCAACCCCATCCCATGGCCTTCTCCTTTCCCCACATACGTGGGCTGGGGTCCCACCAAGCCCCGTTTCGGGGTCCCCATCGCTTGCTGCCCCTGTAGTCCATTGGATATCCCAGTAGTTGAGGATGATGAAGGAGCTCCTGGTGTCGGTGGTGAGGATGGCTTGGAAGGTGTTGCCCTGCAGAAAGGAAGGGGGAGATGGACACCAGAGGTGGTGGGATGAGGAGATGGGGATGGGGGGGGTGCTAAGGAAGTTCTCTTGGTGAGGAATGGAGCATCCAAGCTGGTTCCTTTGGTGTCCACCAGAAGATGGGATCTACCACAGCTTCTTCCATAGGGGGATGAGGTCAACACATGGGCCTCACCTGCCCTTCAAGCCATACCTATGGGCCTTACCTTGGTGCTGGTAGAGCCATAGTAGGCCACATGGTCCCAGGTGGCCACCAGAGCCCATGTGGCCGTGTAGGGGATGGTGGGGAAGTACTGGTTGATGTCGCTGGTGATGAGGGCCAGCAGCGCTGGGTCGGTGGTCTGGCGGTAGAAGACATCTCCTCCAAGCACGTTGTCCACGTCGGCCCAGTATGGGGCCACAAAGGGGCGTCCATCAGCCAATGGGAAGGGGTCTGGGGTGTACTGGTTGACCCGGGTGTCAAAGGAGATGACCCCGTTGTTGTTGACCTGGAGAAGACATCATCGGGTCAACCCCAACCTCCATTGGAGCCCCACCAGCACCACCCGTGGAGCTGGGATCCAGATGTGGTCTTGCCATTGACCTCTGCATCTCCATGACCATGCTTGAAGGCACCATTGCCCCGTCCCTAAATGTGGCCTCCTCCATGGGAGGTCTTCTCCTAGGACCCACCGGCCATAGGAGGACACTTGGATACACCAGAAATGGGACCAAACTGGGGGGAAAGGGATGGAATGGAGCAGAAGGAAAGGTGGGGATGGGGAACTGGGAGGTGCTCTTGGAAGTGGTGGGATCTTCACTCACTTACATAGAGGGTTTGGTGCTCCTGGCCATAGAAGGTGAAGGGCACAGTGAGGGTGACCCTCTCTGATGTCCCATCATCCAGCTTGGGGTTCTTCTGGTCCTGTTGCTCCAGACCATAGGGGTAGAGCAGGGATACTGGGGGAACACAGAGGTTGAGCTATTGGTGGACATCCCAACCCCATCCCATGGTCTTTGGGGTGGAAGCCACCCCCTTGGTCTTAAATGGGGCCTGAGCTCCATGTGGGTCAAGCAGGGTTGGCTTCTCCATGGTGGCCAAAGGGTAAAAGTGGGGTAGATGAGGCAAGAAGAGGACCCCCAACACCCATATTCCCCTATGGAAGCTCCTTTCCCACCCCACGAAGCAGAAACAAGCCCATTTTGGGTGGAAAAACCCAGTTTTGGATGATGTGAGGACCCACCTTTGTCTTCTGCTGCTTGGACGCTCCCCACAGCTCCTGGAGAAGACATGGAAGGGAAAGAGGAGCAACCATCACCCAGGACCGGAGCATCCTCAGATGTCTCCTTCCCACCTACCTAAGAGCAGGAGCAGGACCTGGAACGAGGCCTTCATCCCAACGCCTCCAAAGCGAGGGCCTTCTCCAATGGGAGGGCGAGGAGCAGCTTCCAACTGGAAAAGGGAAGAGTTGGATGGGATCTAAGGAAGTTCTTCACCAGGAGGGTACTGGGACATCGGAATGGGTTGACTGGAGAAGGTTCAAGGCCAGGTTAGATGGGGCTTGGTCCATGTCCCTTGGTTGGAACTGGATGAGCTTCAGGGCCCTTCTAAGCTGAACCCGTTCCATAATCCCATGGAATATCCCATTTCCCAAGGGAGAAGATGGAAATCAAACGTCCTACCTGGATCTCCTCACTGTGGTTTGATGTCCCAAGGGAACGAAGGAAAGCGGAGCTCAGGCAGCAAGAAATGGGTTTGGGGTCACGTCCTGCCCCTTCTTTTAACCTGAAGGTCTTCAGGGTCCATCCCACCATGAAGAAACCCATCCCACCATGAGGAAAACCCATCCCACCATGAGGAAACCCATCCCACCATGAGGAAACCCATCCCACCATGAGGAAACCCATCCCACCATGAGGAAACCCATCCCACCATGAGGAAACCCATCCCACCATGAAGAAACCCATCCCACCATGAGGAAACCCATCCCACCATGAGGAAAACCCATCCCACCATGAGGAAACCCATCCCACCATGAGGAAAACCCATCCCACCATGAAGAAACCCATCCCACCATGAGGAAACCCATCCCACCATGAGGAAAACCCATCCCACCATGAGGAAACCCATCCCACCATGAGGAAACCCATCCCACCATGAGGAAACCCATCCCACCATGAGGAAAACCCATCCCACCATGAGGAAAACCCATCCCACCATAAGGAAAACCCATCCCACCATGAGGAAAACCCATCCCACCATGAGGAAAACCCATCCCACTATGAGGAAACCCATCCCACCATGAAGAAACGCATCCCACCATAAGGAAAACCCATCCCACCATGAGGAAACCCATCCCACCATGAGGAAAACCCATCCCACCATGAGGAAACCCATCCCACCATGAGGAAACCCATCCCACCATGAGGAAAACCCATCCCACCATGAGGAAACCCATCCCACCATGAGTAAAACCCATCCCACCATGAGGAAACCCATCCCACCATGAGGAAAACCCATCCCACCATGAGGAAAACCCATCCCACCATGAGGAAACCCATCCCACCATGAGTAAAACCCATCCCACCATGAAGAAACCCATCCCACCATGAGGAAACCCATCCCACCATGAGGAAACCCATCCCACCATGAGGAAACCCATCCCACCATGAGGAAAACCCATCCCACCATAAGGAAACCCATCCCACCATGAGGAAAACCCATCCCACCATAAGGAAAACCCATCCCATCATAAGGAAAACCCATCCCACCATAAGGAAAACCCATCCCACCATAAGGAAAACCCATCCCATCATAAGGAAAACCCATCCCACCATGAGGAAAACCCATCCCACCATGAGGAAACCCATCCCACCATGAGGAAACCCATCCCACCATGAGGAAAACCCATCCCACCATGAGGAAAACCCATCCCACCATAAGGAAAACCCATCCCACCATGAGGAAACCCATCCCACCATGAGGAAACCCCATCCCATCAGGACCAAGCCCCATAAACACAATGCAATCTGCCAGCTTCCTGTCCATCCAGGGTTCAAGAGCCCATCTGAGGCCTGCAGAAGGTCATGGGAGACATCTGGCTCCATCCAGATGTTTAATGAGCCTCAGATAAGCTCTTGCCATGGACAGATAAGCTGGGCCTTGATGTTCTCCAGGCCTCCCACAAGGAAGATCCTCATTAACCAGCTCCATCCCATCCCAGTTCCATCCCTTGGAGGCCACAAACAGGGGGGGCAATGGGAAGAACGTGACCCAAGTACGTTTGGAGGAGGTTTGGGGGGCTCTTGGTGGTGGGGACCTTGCAATGGTGGTGGGGGGCAGGTGGGGATGTGGGGTATGGGGTCCTGCACCCATCACAATGGGGGTCCTGCACCCATTGGAATGTCCCTATGGGGGTCCTGCATCCATCACAATGTCCTTATGGGGGTCCTGCATCCATCACAATGTCCTTATGGGGGTCCTGCATCCATCACAATGTCCCTATAGGGGCCCTGCACCCATCACGACGTTCCCTATGGACCACATCACCCACCCCAACGTTCCCTATGGGACCACATCACCCATCCCAACGTTCCCTATGGACCACATCACCCACCCCAACGTTCCCTATGGACCACATCACCCATCCCAACGTTCCCTATGGACCACATCACCCACCCCAACGTCCCCTATGGACCACATCACCCACCCCAATGATCCCTATGGGACCACATCACCCACCCCAACCTCCTCATCATCCTTCCCACAGGGAAAGCCCTGGAGCCCCACATCCCCACGTCCTCTGGCTCCACCATGTGCCCCATTGACTCTAGGTCTCTGGAATCCCAGAGCTGCTTTCCCAGTCCAAGCCCCAACCCCACCTCCTGCCCATGGGACGTGGCCAATTCCAGCCCTTTTTGGCCCCGATTCCTCCTCCTATCAGAGGTCCCTATGGGAGCTCCAGCAGATAAGCCCCATTTGCTCATAAAAAGGGAAGTTTTGGGATCGAGCCGACAGATTCCCCTCATCCAACCTCACGGACCCATGGGTTTGGGGAGGACAAAGAGGAGCTGAAGCAGAAAGAAGCCCAAGGGTAGGTGCTATGGGTCCTTTGGGGAGCAATGGGTTGGTCCCTTTAGGCCGAAGGTGTCTGAGATGCCTTCACCCATGAAAAAGAAGTCCTAAATGGGTCAAATTCCCAAGAAAACCACTTAAAAATGGGGTTTCCTCCATCCCAAGCCCAAATTGGGATATTTTGGATGGATCCCCCAAGAAAACCACGTAAAAATGGGGTTTCCTCCATCCCAAGCCCAAATTGAGGTATTTTGGATGGAACCCCCAAGAAAACCACATAAAAATGGGGTTTTTTCTCCATCCCAAGCCCAAATTGAGGTATTTTGGATGGAACCCCCAAGAAAACCACATAAAAATGGGGTTTTTCTCCATCCCAAGCCCAAATTGAGGTATTTTGGATGGAACCCCCAAGAAAACCACATAAAAATGGGGTTTTTTCTCCATCCCAAGCCCAAATTGAGGTATTTTGGATGGAACCCCCAAGAAAACCACTTAAAAATGGGGTTTTCTCCATCCCAAGCCCAAATTGAGGTATTTTGGATGGAACCCCCAAGAAAACCACGTAAAAGTGGGTTTTTTTCTCCATCCCAAGCCCAAATTGAGGTATTTTGGATGGAACCCCCAAGAAAACCACGTAAAAATGGGGTTTTTCTCCATCCCAAGCCCAAATTGAGGTCTTTTGGATGGATCCCCCATCAACGTTGAGCAATGGGGGGCAACCAGCGGCTCTAAGAACATCCAGAAGATGGGAATGGCCAAATCCCTGCATTTTGGCCTCATTTTGACCCAAAATGGGGGGATTTTAGGGCTTGGATTCATCGCTATTGGGGTTTGGTGGCACCATGGCTTGAAGGTGGCATCAAGGAGGGGTTTGGGTTGGAGATAGGGGGAACGTGGGGGTCATTGGGGTGAGAAGAACCCAACCTCAAGTGACTTGCAAGAGGCTTCTATGGGGGATAAAAGGGTCTTTGGGGACAATATGGGACCTAAAGGGAGATGCTGGGGACACTTGGGTCACCCCCAGGTTCCTCTTTGTCTGTTTATGGCTCTTTTTACCCCAAAAACAGAGGTTCATTTCCCTTATTTGGGGCATTTCCAGGGATGGAGATGGGATTCTGGTGGCTTCCCTTGGCTCTGTGCTGCGGTGAGCATCAACCCAACCCCGTTCCCATCCCCAAAGCCCCAATTTCCCCTGATTTCAGCTTATTTTAGCCCCTTCTGCTTCATATTTCTGCAGCAAAACTCTTTATTCCCTTTATTTTCCATACATTTCCCCTTATTCCCTATTTTCCCCTTTCCCACTTTATTAACCCTTCTCTCCACCAAAAATCTCTCTTTGCCTGTTGGTTTTCACCAAAAAGCCCCCTTTTTTAACCCAAACCCCCTTATTCTCTGTTTTTTACCCAACCAAACCTCATTATTCCCTATTTTCACCCTAAACCCCCTCATTCCCTGCTTTTCCCTCCAGCCAAACCTCATTATTCACCCCAAACGCCCTCCTTCCCTCTTTATTTCAATGAAAAAGTGCACAGAACAGCTTTTTTTGCCCAAATTCCCCCTTTTTTCACCCCAAATCCCCATCGCTGCTGTTTAAACTTAGAATCCAGGAGCTTTCCTCACCTTTTTGGGGTGTTTTTTTCCCAGGAAAAGCTTGAATTCCCTCATTTCCCCCCTATAAAATCCATGTTTTGGGTTTGGGTTTGAGCATCAAATCCTCATTCCCTGTAATTCCCCATTTCCACCAATTCCCCATTTCCCCCAGTTCCCATTTCCACCAATCCCCATTTCCACCAATCCCCATTTCCACCAATTCCCCATTCCTACCAATTCCCATTTCCCCCAGTTCCCCATTTCCACCAATCCCCATTTCCCCCAGTTCCCCATTTCCAATTCCCATTCCCACCAATTCCCATTTCCCCCAATTCCCATTCCCACCAATTCCCATTCCCACCAATTCCCATTCCCACCAATTCCCATTTCCCCCAATCCATTTCCCCCAGTTCCCATTTCCCCCAATCCCCATTTCAATTCCCATTTCCACCAATTCCCATTTCCCCCAATTCCCATTTCCCCCAATTCCCATTTCCCCCAATCCATTTCCCCCAATCCATTTCCCCCAATCCCCATTTCCCCCAGTTCCCATTCCCCCCAATCCCCATTTCCATTCCCCATTCCCCCAATCCCCATTCTCCCTCATTTCCCATTTCCCCCAGTCCATTCCCCCCCAATCCCCATTTCCATTCCCCATTCCCCCATCCCCATTCTCCCCCATTCCCCACCTCTCCCCCAAAACCCCATTCCCTTTCCCCTCCCCACCCCCATCGATCCACCCCCACCCCCACCACATTCCCACTGTCCCCACCTTCTCCTCCAGTCCCTCCCAGTTTGGCTTTCCCCGGCACCCAGTTCCTCACGGCCTTCATGCAGAACGATGAGGACGGCGCCTACCTCAACGCCCATCTCCTCCTCACCTCCTCCTCCTCCTCCATGTCCACGTCCACCACGGTGACGGTGACCACGCGCGGTGGTGCCTTCACCAGCACCATCTCCCTGGGCCCCGGCGCCGCGGTTCCCCTCCGCCTCCCACCCGACGTGGAGCTGGTGGGCAACCAACTCTCCGACAAAGCCGTCTCCATCCAGGCCACCAACGACATCTCCGTGGTGGCCACCAGCACCAAGAGGCTCACGACCGGCGCCACCGTGGTGCTACCCATGGAGATGTTGGGCCGCAGGTACTACGTGGTGACACCGGAGGGCACCAAAAGAGCCGGGCTCAAGGAGCTGGTGGTGGTGGCCGGAAGGACCTCGACCACCGTCACCATCAAAGCCAAGGGGAGGTTCTACTACCGAGGGAGGAGCTACTCCACCGGGAGCATCCTTCGCGTCTCCTTGGGGTCCTACCACAGCTTCCAGCTCCAGAGCCGCTCCGACCTCTCCGGCACCGAGGTCACGTCGGACAACCCCATAGCGGTCCTCAGTGGCCACAGCTGTGTCAAGGTCCACACGGGGTGCGACCATGCGGTGGAGCAGCTTCTGCCCGTTGAGGCCTGGGGCAAGGTCTTCATCGTCCCTCCCGTCCCGCTGCAGAAGGACACGGACTTGGCCTACGTGGTGGCAGCGGAGAGGACCTCCCTTAGCTACAATAGGGGCAACGCGGTTGCCACCGAGGTCATGGTGGCCGGGCAGGTCCGTAGGGTCAAGGTGGGCCCAAGCTCTCCCCTCCATCTCAATGCTTCAGCTGGGGTCCAGGTGGTTTTCTTCTTCACCGGCTCCAAGAAGGGCTCCATGAAGCGAGATCCCTTCATGGTCACCATCCAACCCGTGGCCACCTACTGCAAGTCCTACCGGGTCATCGGCATGGCCGGCTATGAGAACCACGTTGGCCTCGTGGCGCCCAGCGTGGACACCAGCTCCATAACACTCAACCAGGGGATGGAGAGGACCATACCCTGGCAAAGCATCCCCGACACGGAGCTCTCCTGGGCCACCATCACCATGAGCAAAGCAGGGGAGATCCAGAGCGTGGAGCACCCGAGGACACCTTTTGGGCTCCTGGTCTTTGGCTTCCAGAACTACGCTGGTTATGGCTTCAGTGGCCTCTGTGCCACCGGTGAGTATGGTCAGCACCATGGTTGGGGTGTTCTCAATGGGCAGGTCTTCTCCATGGTGGCCATCCATGGGTTTCTCCCCTCTTTCTCTTCTCCTCCATGGGTTTCTCCCCTCTTCCTCTTCTCCTCCATGGGTTCCTCCCCTCTTCCTCTCCTCCATGGGTTCCTCCCCTCTTTCTCTTCTTCTCCATGGGTTTCTCCCCTCTTCCTCTTCTCCTCCATGGGTTCCTCCCCTCTTCCTCCTCTCCATGGGTTTCTCCCCTCTTCCTCTTCTCCTCCATGGGTTCCTCCCCTCTTCCTCTTCTCCATGGGTTTCTCCCCTCTTTCTCTGCAGCTTCTCCTCCTCTTTCATGCCAAGACCTGGCCTGCAAGGACAAGTGTGTGATGGTGGACGGGCAACCTAAATGTGTCCAGGAGACCTTCTCAACCTGCTGGGCCACCGGCGACCCTCACTATAGGACCTTCGATGGGCACCCCTTTGACTTCATGGGCACCTGCACCTACACCTTGACCAAGACCTGTGACCCGGACCCAACCCTGCCCATCTTCAGCATCGAGGCCAAGAACGAGCACCGGGGCAACCTGAAGGTCTCCTATGTTGGTTCCATCACCATCCGTGTCTATGGCGTGACCATCGTGGCGGTCAGGTCGGAGAACGGCATGGTGAGGGTAAGTCAACCCAAAGCAACGATGCATCTATAGGGTCGCGTCCAACCTCAATGAGCTTCATGGTGACCTCTTGAAGAAGAAACCTCCAAAAATCCTCAAACCCTTCAATTTCACCCCAATTTTAGATGTTTTTTGGGGTCCTCCATGGGGTTTCCTTCCTCCCCCAGGTCAACAACCACCGCTCCCACCTCCCCATCACCCTCTCCGATGGGAAGCTCCACCTGCGGCAACGGGGCCGCTCCATGCTGCTTCAGACAGCCTTCAAGCTCAAGGTCCTCTATGACTGGGACGCCCGCGTGGCGCTGAGGCTCCCCAGTGCCCTCAATGGCAAAGTGTGCGGCCTGTGCGGCAACGCCAACGGTGACCCCCAAGATGACGCCCTCAAACCTGATGGAGACGCGGCCCAGGACGCGGTGGAGCTGGGGGCGAGCTGGAAGGTGGCCAATGAGAGCCGTCGTTGTTGGGATGACTGCAGTGGGGCCTGTGAGCGGTGCCAATGGGATGAGGTGGCCCGGTACCAGGAGGAGATGTGGTGTGGGATGATGACCCAAGGCACGGGGCCCTTCTGGAGGTGCCACGCCACCATCAACCCCAAGGTCTACGTGGACAACTGCGTCTATGACCTGTGTGCCAACGGTGGGCTCCATGCCATGCTGTGCCAAGCCCTCGAAGCCTATGCAGATAGCTGCAGAGAGGAAGGGGTCACCATCGGGGACTGGAGGACACCGGCGCGGTGCCGTGAGTAGATCCCAAGGTCCTCCCTTTGGGTGGAGTCAAGGGGTGCTGGGGTGGGAAGGAGGAGAAGAGGAGGAAGGGCAATGGGGGCAATGGGGATGGTGGTGTCACCATGGAGGCCTAAAGTGAGGTGGGATGGGTTGTGTGGGAAGAGGGGCATGGAATGACCATGGAGACTCCAGGAAGACCATGGAGACTCCAGGAAGTCTATGTAGAAAGTCCCATCCCATCCCAATCCTTGTGTCCCATCCCACCCCATCCATTGTGTCCCATCCCACCCCAACCCTTGTGTCCCATCCCACCCCAACCCTTGTGTCCCATCCCACCCCAACCCCATTGTCCCATCCCACCCCAACCCTTGTGTCCCATCCCACCCCAACCCTTGTGTCCCATCCCACTCCAACCCTTGTGTCCCATCCCACCCCAACCCTTGTGTCCCATCCCACCCCAACCCTTGTGTCCCATCCCACCCCATCCATTGTGTCCCATCCCACCCCAACCCTTGTGTCCCATCCCACCCCAACCCTTGTGTCCCATCCCACCCCAACCCCATTGTCCCATCCCACCCCAACCCTTGTGTCCCATCCCACCCCAACCCTTGTGTCCCATCCCACTCCAACCCTTGTGTCCCATCCCACCCCAACCCTTGTGTCCCATCCCACCCCAACCATTGTGTCCCATCCCACCACAACCATTGTGTCCCATCCCCTCCACAGCCCTCCCCTGCCCCATGAACAGCACCTACACCTCTTGTGGCACCCCCTGCCCCACCACCTGCAACCCCACTGCCCTCCCACCCACCTGTGACCCCACGACCTGCGTTGAGACCTGCGAGTGCCACCAGGGCTTCGTGCTGGACCTCAACGACTGCGTCCCCCAAACCGAGTGCGGTTGCGTCTTCGAGGGCCTCCTCCATGGTCCCCACGAGGTCTTTTGGGGCGACACCAACTGCACCCAACGGTGCCGCTGTGACCCCGAGCTCCAAGGGCCCCGGTGTCAATGGTCCAGCTGCAGCCATGGGGAAGAGTGCCGGGTGGAAGGGGGCATCCAAGGCTGTTACCCCAAGAGCTATGGGACCTGCTCTGCTGTTGGGGCCACCCATTATGAGACCTTTGATGGTGGGAGCTTCACCTTCCGAGGGTCCTGCCTCTACCAGCTCGCTGGGTTGTGTGGGACGAGGCAGGAGCTGGTGGACTTCCAGGTGTTGGTGCAGAACGGGCACGAAGAGGAGGAGCTGTCCTCCATCGCGCTCGTGATGGTTGAGGTCTATGGCAAGACCGTCGCCATCAAGAGGGACCACCCTGGTAAAGTCATGGTGGGTTTTGTGGCTGCTTCTTCATCTTCTCCTGCTCCTCAACCCTTCTCTTCCGTCCATTGGGGAGCACTGAAGGGTCTCCTTCAACCACATTGAGACCCAGAGCTCGGGGTTGGATGGGTGGAAGCCAATGTGGGCAATGCGACCAACCCCATGGATGAGGGTTAATGTCCTCATCATGGATCTCCACCTGAAGCAGGTCCATACCTGATGGTGGGCACGTGGTTATGGGGCCATCCATGGGGTGATTGGAGTCAAGGTGGTGGAGAACCGAGGCTTGGACCCCAAATAATGGCTTCTTCTTGCCTCTTGCCCCCCAGATCAACGACCGCTTGGTCAACCTCCCCTACCACCACCCGGAGCAGAAGATCTCCATCTCCAGAGGTGCCCAAGGGGCCGTGGTGGAGACCGACTTCGGCCTCACCGTCACCTACGATTGGCAAAGCCAAGTCCTGGTCTCGGTGCCCAGCACTTACTCCGATGCCTTGTGTGGCCTCTGTGGCAACTACAACGGCAACCGGGAGGATGAGGTGATGATGGTGATGATGATGATGAAGAACAGCAGCGTTGGCGCCTCTGGAGCCCACCTCAAGGTGATGGACATCCCAGGGTGCGTGGAGCTCTTCAACGTGGAGTGTCCCCATAGGGGGCAACAGCAAGGAGAAGACTCCGAGATGGGTTGTGGGCTCCTCAAGCAAACCCAGGGCCCTTTTGGAGCTTGCCATGCCCATGTAGATGCCACCAGGTTCTTCCAGAGCTGTGTCCATGATTCCTGCCTCTTCCCGCATCGGGACGGGGTGGCGTGTCCCATCCTGGCCCATTACGCTGCCGCCTGCCGAGCTGCTGGTGTCCCCATTGGGATGTGGAGGACCGAGGACTTCTGCAGTGAGTGGGGATCAGAGGCTGGGCTTGGGCTTTGTGGATGGTTGGGGATGTCCAAGGGAAGCCCCGAACCCTGTGGAGCTCAAGCAGGGAGGTGGGGATCGCACTCAGCAGCTAGGTTGGTCCAGCAGGGCCAAGAAGCCTCCTTAGATAGGGGCCATCAGCTCTGCCCATAGGCAATGACCAGGAGGAGCCCATCATCTCGGTTCCAGTGACCAGGAACCCTTCTTAGCTTGGTTCCACCACCGTTATGGACACCTCAACCTTCACAATGTCCATAAGGAGGCAGAGATGAGGCCCAACCATGGCTTAAACCCATCTCCCATGTTCCCATCCTCTTTATGGACACCTCAACCTTCTCGATGTCCATAAGGAGGCAGAGATGAGGCCCAACCATGGCTTAAACCCATCTCCCATGTGTCCATCACCGTTACGGACACCTCAACCTTCTCAATGTCCATAAGGAGGCAGAGATGAGGTGCAACCATGGCTTAAAGCCATCTCCCATGTGTCCACCACCGTTATGGACACCTCAACCTTCTCAATGTCCATAGAGGTGCAACCATGGCTTAAATCCATCTCCCATGTGTCCACCACCGTTATGGACACCTCAACCTTCACAATGGCCATAAGGAGGCAGAGATGAGGCCCAACCATGGCTTAAACCCATCTCCCATGTTCTCATCACCGTTATGGACACCTCAACCTTCACAATGTCCATAAGGGGGCAGAGATGAGGTGCAACCATGGCTTAAAGCCATCTCCCATGTGTCCATCACCTTCATGGACACCTCAACCTTCTCAATGTCCATAGAGGTGCAACCATGGCTTAAACCCATCTCCCATGGTTCCATCACCATTATGGACACCTCAACCTTCTCGATGTCCATAAGGGGGCAGAGATGAGGTGCAACCATGGCTTAAACCCATCTCCCATGTGGTGCCCCCCAAGCGTAGAACTGGAGCACATGGGGTGGCATTGCCTTGCCCCTCATGGATCCCCATGTCCCATGGCAGATATCTCCTGTCCTCCACGAAGCCACTACGAGCTCTGCTCCGAGGCCTGCTCCCAGACCTGCAGCTCCATCCACACCTCCACAAGGTGCCCCACGAGGACCCAGTGCCACGAGGGTTGCGTCTGCGACCAAGGCTTCGTGCTCAGCGGTGACGAATGCGTCCCCATGGCCCAGTGTGGTTGCCACCATCAGGACTTCTACTACAAGGCCAACGAGACCTTCTACCCCTCCATGCAGGAGGAGTGTCACTGCCAGGCCGGTGGCACCGTGGACTGCCAGGAGACCTCTTGTCCCATTGATGGGGAAGGAGAAGTCATCAATGGGGTCTTCCAATGCCCATCTACTGCCCCAGGGACCTGCGTGGCCACCGGGGACCGCAGCTACGTGTCCTTTGATGGGGTGGCTTTCAACATGTCCGGTACCTGCTCCTATGTCCTCGCTGAGACCTGCTCTGGTGACCTGGACTCCTTCGTGGTGAAGGTCCAGAAGGATGCTCGGCAGAAGAAGAAGGCCTCCAGCATCCAAACGGTGACCATTGAGGTCCATGGGCTCACGTTGACCTTGATGCAAGGCAGGAGGAGTGTGCTGGTAAGGTGGTGCTTGGAGGTCCACCACACTATGGTTGTGGTGGTGAGGTCTAGGGGGGCATGTTGGCTTTGGGATGGGGTTGGATGGGCACAGCTCCATGATGGTGGCCCACCATTATCATCTATGGGTTCATATTGACCTTGCCATGGGGTTGGATGGGCACAGCTCCATGATGGTGGCCCACCATTGTCATCTATGGGTTCATATTGACCTTGCCATGGGGTTGGATGGGCACAGCTCCATGATGGCGGCCCACCATCATCATCTATGGGTTCATATTGACCTTGCCATGAGGTTGGATGGGCACAGCTCCATGATGGCGGCCCACCATCATCATCTATGGGCTCATATTGACCTTGCCATGAGGTTGGATGGGCACAGCTCCGTGATGGTGGCCCACCATTATCATCTATGGGTTCATATTGACCTTGGCATGGGGTTGGATGGGCACAGCTCCATGATGGCGGCCCACCATCATCATCTGTGGGTTCATATTGACCTTGGCATGGGGTTGGATGGGCACAGCTCCATGATGGCGGTCCACCATCATCATCTATGGGTTCACATTGACCTTGGCATGAGGTGAGAGGGAGACAGCTCCATCCATAGTGACCTTTTGGGGCCCACTTTATGGCCATGAGCTACCAAGCTTGGGTTTCCACCATGGGAGAAGACCTCACCCCTACGTCCAATCCAAACCCACCCTTTGCCTTCCAGCTCCCATCAATCCATTGGAAGCTTGGCTGGAAGGGCCCTTCCTACCCCTACCTCCACAACCTTCTCCTTGGAGCTCATTGGTGGCCTTTATCTCCTCCTGTCCTAGGTGGACTCCATATCCCACCACCTCCCATCCATCCTAAGCCATGGGCAGGTTGAGGTCCACCAGCACGGGGTGGGCGTCCTGCTCCGCACTGACTTCGGCCTCCTGGTTCGCTATGACCTCCTCCACCACGTCCTGGTCACGGTGCCCCCCGGCTACCGAGGCCACCTCTGTGGGCTCTGTGGCAACTACAACGGCCGAGGAGACGACGACCTCCTCCTCCCTGATGGCCACCAGGCTCCCAACGCTACGGCCTTGGGCTCTGCATGGAAGGCCCTCGATGCACCTTGCCTTGACCATTGCCCCGAGGACCATTGCCCCACCTGCCCGGAGGAGAAGATGAGGGTCCTCCAGAAACCCAACTACTGTGGCCTCCTCATGGTCCCCATGGGACCTTTTGCCTCCTGCCACCACCTCATTGACCCGGACCCGTACCTCCAGGCGTGTCTCCATGATGTCTGCCTTGCCGACGGGGACACCGGTGTCCTCTGCAGGAGCATCCAGAGCTACTCCATCGCTTGCCAGGATGCTGGTGGCACCATCGAGGCTTGGAGGAAACCGTCCTTGTGCCGTAAGTGGTGGCCACCGCTCTCCATGGCCAAGAAGCCGCCTCTCATCGGGGGCCATTGAAACCACTACAACCGGTTCCTAAGGGGGGTTGGAGATGGAGGTCCATGGTGACCACCGATGCCACTGCTTGTTGGTGCCCCGGTTGTCTTCTCCTTGCCCCCATGGCTCCCGTCCCCATCAACGTTCTGACCCTTCCGTCACCCCCTTAAAGCCCACCCTTGAGGTTGCCCCCCACTCTTCCAACCCAACCCCATGGCTTCCATTGCAGCCCTCAAGTGCCCACCCAACAGCAGCCACTCCCTTTGCCCCGAGCTCTGCACCCAGAGCTGCTCAAGCCTTGGAGATGCCTCCAGGTGTCCCCAGGGCTGCATGGAAGGGTGTCAATGCCACCACGGGTACGTCTCCGATGGCCACGGCTGCGTCCCTGAGGAGCGCTGCGGGTGCTTTGTGGATGGGGAATACTACAAGGTAGGAACCTTCTCTTTTGGGGTGATGGGGGGGGTTCCTCATCAGTTTGGACCCATTTAGATGGTCCCACAGCTCCTTGGAGAGGGGATATCTCAGCGGCTTCCATCTGCCATGGGTCCACGTGAAGGAAGGGAATGGGTTGGGTTAGGATGGAACTGAGGGCATCAGGGCACGATGCTTTCCCCCATCCCTACGTGGCTCCACGCATCGAGGTCAACGCAACCTGGTTCCTCCCACCCCATTGGCTCCTCTCCCCATGCAGCCCCACGAGGTGGTCCTGAAGGAGAGCTGCCACCAGCGCTGTTCCTGTGTCCCTGGCCAAGGCTGGGCCTGCAGCAACCACAGCTGCACCGAGGACGAGGCCTGCGAGGTCAAGGACGGGACCATGGGGTGCATCAACCAAAGTGAGGAGCAAGGGGGCTTCTGCATGGGGGGCGGGAGGTGGAGGAGGTCCATTGGGTGCTCTGGAGGGTCTATGGGGAGGGAAGCCTAAAGCAGGAGGAATGGTGGCCATTGGTCTCCAAGGGACATGGAGGTCCCTGATGTCCATCTCCAAGGGCAATGGGACATGGAGGTCCCTGATGCCCATCTCCAAGGGCAATGGGACATGGAGGTCCCTGATGCCCATCTCCAAGGGCAATGGGACATGGAGGTCCCTGATGTCCATCTCCAAGGGCAATGGGACATGGAGGCCCCTGATGCCCATCTCCAAGGGCAATGGGACATGGAGGTCCCTGATGCCCATCTCCAAGGGCAATGGGACATGGAGGTCCCCGATGTCCATCTCCAAGGGCAATGGGACATGGAGGTCCCTGATGCCCATCTCCAAGGGCAATGGGACATGGAGGTCCCCGATGCCATCTCCAAGGGCAATGGGACATGGAGGTCCCTGATGTCCATCTCCAAGGGCAATGGGACATGGAGGTCCCCGATGCCCATCTCCAAGGGCAATGGGACATGGAGGTCCCTGATGTCCATCTCCAAGGGCAATGGGACATGGAGGTCCCTGGTGTCCATCTCCAAGGGCAATGGGACATGGAGGTCCCTGATGCCCATCTCCAAGGGCAATGGGACATGGAGGTCCCTGATGTCCATCTCCAAGGGCAATGGGACATGGAGGCCCCTGATGCCCATCTCCAAGGGCAATGGGACATGGAGGTCCCTGATGCCCATCTCCAAGGGCAATGGGACATGGAGGTCCCTGATGCCCATCTCCAAGGGCAATGGGACATGGAGGTCCCCGATGCCATCTCCAAGGGCAATGGGACATGGAGGTCCCTGATGTCCATCTCCAAGGGCAATGGGACATGGAGGTCCCCGATGCCCATCTCCAAGGGCAATGGGACATGGAGGTCCCTGATGTCCATCTCCAAGGGCAATGGGACATGGAGGTCCCTGATGTCCATCTCCAAGGGCAATGGGACATGGAGGTCCCTGATGTCCATCTCCAAGGGCAATGGGACATGGAGGTCCCCGATGCCCATCTCCAAGGGCAATGGGACATGGAGGTCCCTGATGTCCATCTCCAAGGGCAATGGGACATGGAGGTCCCTGATGCCCATCTCCAAGGGCAATGGGACATGGAGATCCTGATGCCCATCACTAAGAGCAATGGGACATGGAGGTCCCTGATGTCCATCTCCAAGGTCAATGGGACATGGAGGTCCCTGATGCCCATCACTAAGAGCAATGGGACATGGAGATCCTAATGTCCACCTCCCATGGTTTCTCCTCTGGTTCCTTCTCCTTCCAGACCCTTGCAAAGCCCTTCGGTGCCGACCCAAGGAGCGGTGCAAGCTGAAGGACGGCCAAGCCAAGTGTGTCCCATCCATGGTTGCCACCTGCTGGGCTTGGGGGGATCCCCATTACCACACCTTTGACGGGCTGGACTTTGACTTCCAAGGGACCTGCACCTACACCATGGTGGAGACCTGTGGGAATGACACCTCCTTGGTGCCCTTCAAGGTGGAGAGCAAGAACAACGTCCGGGGGGGGGTGAGATCCATCTCCTACGTCAGCTTGGTCAATGTCGAGGTCTATGGTCAGCGCATCTCCATCCACCAGAAGGAAGTGGGCAAAGTCAGGGTGAGTGGACACCAAGTTGGGGGGGGAATGGGCCTCTTCCATCCCCTTCTCCATCCATCCCCTTCTCCATCCATCTCCTTCTCCATCCATCTCCTTCTCATCCATCTCCTCCTCCATCCATCTCCTTCTCCATCCATCCCCTTCTCATCCATCTCCTCCTCCATCCATCTCCTTCTCCATCCATCCCCTTCTCCATCCATCCCCTTCTCCATCCATCTCCTTCTCCATCCATCTCCTTCTCCATCCATCTCCTTCTCCATCCATCTCCTTCTCCATCCATCTCCTCCATGAGCTTGGCCACCATCAAGGTCTATGGGCAATGTATCTCTGTCCACCCAAGGGAAATGGGCAAAATCAGGGGGATTTGGGTTCAAAGGGAACCCAATGAGTGGTCCAATGAGTGACTGAACATCATCAATGAGTGGTTGAACCTCATCAATGAGTGGTTGAACATCATCAGTGAGTGGCTGAACATCATCAATGGGTGCTTGAACATCACCAATGAGTGGTTGAACGTCATCAATGAGTGCTTGAACATCATCAATGGGTGCTTGAACGTCCTCATGGGTGGTTGAACATCACCAATGAGTGCTTGAACGTCCTCATGGGTGCTTCCACCTCCTCACTGGTGGCTTCCCATTGCCATGACCCGGTTGCCCACCCCACCCCATGTCCCCCCCTCCCTCCCTGCAGCTGGACGGCGTCACCACCCTCCTCCCGGTCACCCTGGAGGCCACCAAGCTCCGCCTCTTCCAGAGCGGCCTCAGCGCCGTGGTGGAGACCGCCTTTGGCCTGAGGGTCACCTACGACTGGAACTGGCGCCTCCTCATCGACCTCCCCAGCACCTTCTATGGCCACACTTGCGGCCTCTGCGGCAACTTCAACCTCAGGCCGGAGGACGACGTCCCCCATGGTGGCACCAACCTCACCTCCGTGGTGGCCTGGGCCCAGGCTTGGGAGGTCCTCGATGGGCAGGAGGAGGACCCCTTCTGTTGGCACCACTGCGAGGGAGAGTGCCCCTTGTGCCAGGAGGAGAAGAGGGAGCTCTATGGGGGCAACCGCTACTGCGGCCTCATCAAGAAGAGCTTCCAAGGGCCCTTCGAGGCGTGCCATGGGGTGGTCCCACCACAGGACTTCTACAGCCACTGCCTCTATGACGTGTGCATGGGCGATGGGGCCAAGCAGATCTTCTGCCCCGTGCTGGAGGCCTATGCGGCCATCTGCAGGAAGCGTGGGGCCACCGTGCGGGACTGGAGGACGCCATCGGGTTGCCGTGAGTGTTGGTGGTGGCTCTCCGTGGACAAGGAGCCCATTGGGGTCCATTGAAGCCTTTGTGATTGGTGTCTAAGGGGGGTTGGAACCAACGTGGTCATCCCAACCTTCTCCATTCAACCCATTCCGATGTCCCACCACCTTCATGGTGATGAACCCTTAGGTCCCATTCAACTCTTCCCACTGGAAGCCGGTTCTCCTCATCCCATCCCTTGTCCAAAGCCCAACCTTCTCCATTCAACCCATTCCGATGTCCCACCACCTTCATGGTGATGACCCCTTAGATCCCATTCAACTCTTCCCACTGGAAGCTGGTTCTCCTCAACCCATCCCTTGTCCAAAGCCCAACCTTCTCCATTCAACCCATTCCGATGTCCCACCACCTTCATGGTGATGACCCCTTAGATCCCATTCAACTCTTCCCGCTGGAAGCTGGTTCTCCTCATCCCATCCCTTGTCCAAAGCCCAACCTTCTCCATTCAACCCATTCTGATGTCCCACCACCTTCATGGTGAAGAGCCCTTAGATCCCATTCAACCCTTCCCACTGGAAGCCGGTTCTCCTCATCCCATCCCTTGTCCAAAGCCCAACCTTCTCCATTCAACCCATTCCGATGTCCCACCACCTTCATGGTGATGACCCCTTAGATCCCATTCAACCCTTCCCACTGGAAGCTGGTTCTCCTCATCCCATCCCTTGTCCAAAGCCCAACCTTCTCCATTCAACCCATTCCGATGTCCCACCACCTTCATGGTGAAGAGCCCTTAGATCCCATTCAACTCTTCCCACTGGAAGCCGGTTCTCCTCATCCCATCCCTTGTCCAAAGCCCATCTCCGGGGTCCTGGTGGCTCCTTGAGGTCCTTGAAGGTGCTCCAAGGTCCCCATGGACCCTTCTCACCTCCATAGCAAGGGTTCTCCAGCCCTTGGAGCATCTCCATGGTCTCCTGTGGCCATGGAGCGTGGTTGCCTCCATGACCCCGTGTTTCTGGTGATGGACCCCAAGACACGGTTGGTTCCTCGCTCACCATTGACGCTCTCCTCAACCACCTTCCCTCCACCACCCCAACCCAACCAAAGCCCCTTCACGGTGATGGATCCCCATTGTCCTCCTCTATCTCCACCTCCTTCCAGCCCTACCATGCCCCGAGCACAGCCACTACGACCCCTGCGGCACCTCCTGCCCGGCCACGTGCTCGGACCGAGACGCTCCCACCTCCTGCAGCCAGCCCTGCGTGGAGACCTGCGCTTGCGACCAGGGCCACGTCCTCAGCGGTGGCCAATGCGTGCCGGTGGCCAGCTGTGGTTGCACCCACGATGGACGTTACCACCCCCCCGGCGAGGAGTTCTGGGCCGACGAGCGCTGCAGCCTCCGGTGCCGCTGCCACGCGGCGCTGGCCATGGTGGTGTGCGAGGAGGTGGCCTGCAAGCCCGGCGAGGCCTGCTCCCTGGTCAAGGGCGTGAGGAGGTGCGTGGCCACCAGCAGGTCCGTCTGCGTGGCCACCGGGGACCCCCATTACACCACCTTCGATGGGCGCCGCTATGACTTCATGGGGACCTGCACCTACCGCTTGGTCGCCCTCTGCTCCCAGGACCCGACCCTGGTGCCCTTCGTGGTCACCGTGGAGAACAGCAACAGGGGCAGCCCCGTGGTCTCCTACACCAAGGAGGTCACCTTGGAGGTCTACAACGTGAGCCTGGGCCTCAGCCAGGAGCACCCCAAGAAGGTCAAGGTAGGGGGGGAGGAGGTGGGGGTGATGGGGATGGGCATTGGGGGGGCTCTGAGGTCCTTGCATGGGGGTTAGGTGGGGTCCAAGGTTCTTCTATGGGGTTTAGGTGGGCTCCAATGTTCTTCTATGGGGGTTAGGTGGGCTTCAATGTTCTTCTATGGGGTTTAGATGGGCTCCAAGGTCCTTCTATGGGGTTTAGGTGGGCTCCAATGTTCTTCTATGGGGTTTAGGTGGGCTCAAATATCCTTCTATGGGGTTTAGGTGGGCTCCAACGTCCTTCTATGGGGTTTAGATGGGCTCCAGTGTTCTTCTATGGGGTTTAGGTGGGCTCCAATGTTCTTCTATGGGGTTTAGGTGGGCTCCAATGTTCTTCTATGGGGTTTAGATGGGCTCCAATGTTCTTCTATGGGGTTTAGGTGGGCTCCAATGTTCTTCTATGGGGTTTAGGTGGGATCCAAGGTCCTTGAATGGGGTTTAGGTGGGCTCCAATGTTCTTCTGTGGGGTTTAGGTGGGCTCCAATCTTCTTCTATGGGGTTTAGGTGGGCTCCGATGTTCTTCTATGGGGGTTAGGTGGGCTCCAATGTTCTTCTATGGGGTTTAGGTGGGCTCCAATGTTCTTCTATGGGGTTTAGATGGGCTCCAAGGTCCTTCTATGGGGTTTAGGTGGGATCCAAGGTCCTTGCATGGTGTTTAGATGGGTTCCAAGGCCTTTCTATGGTGTTTAGATGGGTTCCAAGGTCCTTGCATGGTGTTTAGATGGGCTCCAAGGCTCTTCTATGGTGCTTAGATGGGTTCCAAGGTCCTTCTATGCCATTCCAATGGGTTTCAACCTCATTGCCCACCATTTGTGTCCACTCGACCCCACCCCCACCTCCTCCCATGGCCTCTTGGTTGCCCCCCGTCCCCCATCACCCCATTGCCCCACCCACCCAGGTCAACGGCGTCCTGGTGGAGCTCCCCTTTGAGCACAGCGAGGAGCTCCGGGCCCACCTCAGCGGCTTCCACGGCTTCATCACCACCGCCTTCGGCCTCACCCTCACCTTCGATTGGCGCAGCCACGCCAGGGTCCTCCTCCCCAGCGCCTACGCCGGCGCCGTCTGCGGCCTCTGCGGCAACGCCAACGGGGACCCCGAGGACGACCTGGTTCTGCCCAATGGGGACGTGGCCACCAACGAGACCCAGTTTGGGGCCGCTTGGGAGGTGGCCACCGATGGGTGCCAAAAGGGGAGCACCGAAGGGGCCCCAGGGTGCAGCGAGGAGGAGAAGCGCGCCTATGGGGGGGACAAGCACTGCGGCCTCCTGGTGAAGAAGAGGGGACCTCTGGCCCAGTGCCACGGCACCGTTGACCCAGCGCCTTACTGGGAGGAGTGCCTCTATGATGCTTGTGTCTATGAAGGCCACCAAGAGGCCGTTTGCAGCTCCATTGGGGCCTATGTGACCGCCTGTCAGAGCAGAGGTGTCCAGGTCGGACCATGGCGCACGGCGGCCTTCTGCAGTGAGTGGAGGGGTTCAATGGACGTGGTGGGGTGGGGGGGCATGGACCAGGAGCTGGTTCCATCAAGGGTTGGGTTCTCCATGCACCAGGATCTGGTTCCACCAAGGGTTGGGTTCTCCATGGACCAGGATCTGGTTCCATCAAGGGTTGGGTTCTCCATGGACCAGGATCTGGTTCCATCAAGGGTTGGGTTCTCCATGGACCAAGACCTGGTTCCATCAAGGGTTGGGTTCTCCATGGACCAGGATCTGGTCCCATCAAGGGTTGGGTTCTCCATGGACCAGGATCTGGTTCCATCAAGGGTTGGGTTCTCCATGGACCAGGAGCTGGTTCCATCAAGGGTTGGGTTCTCCATGGACCAGGATCTGGTTCCATCAAGGGTTGGGTTCTCCATGGACCAGGATCTGGTTCCATCAAGGGTTGGGTTCTCCATGGACCAGGATCTGGTTCCATCAAGGGTTGGGTTCTCCATGGACCAGGATCTGGTTCCATCAAGGGTTGGGTTCTCCATGGACCAGGATCTGGTTCCATCAAGGGTTGGGTTCTCCATGGACCAGGATCTGGTTCCATCAAGGGTTGGGTTCTCCATGGACCAGGATCTGGTTCCATCAAGGGTTGGGTTCTCCATGGACCAGGATCTGGTTCCATCAAGGGTTGGGTTCTCCATGGACCAGGATCTGGTTCCATCAAGGGTTGGGTTCTCCATGGACCAGGATCTGGTTCCATCAAGGGTTGGGTTCTCCATGGACCAGGATCTGGTTCCATCAAGGGTTGGGTTCTCCATGGACCAGGATCTGGTTCCATCAAGGGTTGGGTTCTCCATGGACCAGGATCTGGTTCCATCAAGGGTTGGGTTCTCCATGGACCAGGATCTGGTTCCATCAAGGGTTGGGTTCTCCATGGACCAGGATCTGGTTCCATCAAGGGTTGGGTTCTCCATGGACCAGGATCTGGTTCCATCAAGGGTTGGGTTCTCCATAGACCAAACCTTGACCTCCCCTTCCCCTTCTCTACCCCCCCCCCATTCTCCCCCCCCAGGTCCCATCTGCCCCCCCAACCAACACTACGACCCCTGCGGCCCCCCTTGCCCCCCCACGTGCTCCGGTGACCCCGAACCCTGCCAGGACCCCCCCCATTGCACCGAAGGCTGCTTCTGCGACCCCGGCTTCCTCCGGAGCGGGCCCCATTGCGTCCCCTTGGCCCAATGCGGCTGCCGGCACCGCGGGCGCTACCACGGCCACGGAGAGGTCTTCACGGAGCCCCCCCATTGCCACCAACGGTGCCGGTGCCAGCCGGGGGGCGCTGTTGAGTGCTGGCCGCAGCCCTGTGGGCCCCAGGAGCTCTGTGGGGTCCACAATGGGGTCTTGGGGTGCTCCCCCCGGGCTTGCGGCCGTTGCGAGGTGCTCGGTGGCACCTTCAGCACCTTCGATGGCCACCACGGGGCCTTGGGTGGCCGCGGCGGCCGGGTCCTGGTGGAGGTGGGAGCCGTGGAGCCAATGGGGGCCTTCAAGGTGGAGCTGGCCCAGGAAGGAGATGGGAGCCGGAGCGTGGTGGTCACCGTGCATGGGGTCACCGTGGCCATGGTGGGGGGCAGGCAGTGGGAGGTGCTGGTGAGTGAGGGGGTATTGGGGGGCATTGGGGTTGGGGGGGTGGAAGGGGTTGAGGGGGCAAAGGTCACTTTTGGGGGGGTTGGAGGGGTGGGAGAGATGGGTTTGGGGTTCAAAGCCCATTTTGGGGTTCAAAGACCACTTTGGGGGGTCCAAAGCCCACTTTGGGGTGCTCAGGAGGTCTTGAAGAGCTTGTTTTGGGGTTCAAAGCCCATTTTGGGGGTCCAAAAGCCCACTTTTTGGGTCCAAAAGCCCACTTTGGGGTCCAAAGCCCACTTTGGGGTGGTCAGGAGGTCTTAAAGAGCTCATTTTTGGGGTCCAAAGCCCACTTTGGGGGTTCAAAGCCTATTTTGGGTCACCCAGAGGGTCTTCAAGAGCTGATTTTGGGGTTCAAAAGACACTTTGGGGTCCAAAACCCACTTTGGGGTGCTCAGGAGGTTTTGAAGAGCTTGTTTTGGGGTTCAAAGCCCATTTTGGGGGTCCAAAACCCCACTTTGGGGGTCTAAAAGCCCACTTTGGGGGTTCAAAGCACACTTTGGGGTCCAAAAACCCACTTTGAGGGTCCAAAGCCCACTTTGGGGTGATCAGGAGGTCTTGAAGACCTTGTTTTGGGGTCCAAACCCCATTTTTGGGTCCAACCCCCCACTTTGAGGACCCAACCCCCCCTTTTGTGTACCCCAATCTCCTTCACCCCCCACTTTGGGGCCCCTTCCATCTCCCACCCCCATCCCTGACCCCTCTCCCCACTGCCCCCCACAGGTCGATGGCCTCCAGCACCTCCTGCCCCTGACCCTGGCCAATGGGGCCCTCACCGTGAGCCAGGAGGGCGCCCACCGGGTGCTGCTGACGCAGGGGGGCCCCAGGCTCCTCTTCGATGGGGTCTCCTACGTCCTCATCACCCTCCCCCCCTCCTACCAGGGGCGCCCCCACGGCCTCTGCGGCGACTTCAATGGGGACCCCCAGAACGATGAACCCCAAGGGGACCCCGACCCCATGGCCCCGGACCCCGCCTCCTGCCCCATGGACGAAGCGGGGCCCTGTGGGGTGCTGCGGGAGGCGTCGGGGCCCTTCTCGGGGTGCCATGGGGTGGTGGAGCCCCATAAGTACATAGTGGGGTGCCTGCGGGAGCAGTGCAAGGAGCCGGGGGGCCGGGCCCTGTGCAGGAGCCTCCAGGGCTACGCCGCCGCTTGCCAGGCTGCTGGGGGGCAGCTCCAGGAGTGGAGGGGGGCAGCCAAGTGCCGTGAGTGCATTGGGGGGTGTTGGGGTGCAGGGGGGTCTATGTGGAGCAATGGGATTGGGTGGAGAATGGGGGGGTTCTGCATGGAGGAACATGGAGCAATGGGATTGGATGGAGAATGGGGGGGTTCTGCATGGAGGGATGGGATTGGATGGATGAGGGTTGAGGGGGGCAGCTCCAGGAGTGGAGGGGGGCAGCCAAGTGCCGTGAGTGCATTGGGGGGTGTTGGGGTGCAGGGGGTATGGGGGGGTCTATGTGGAGCAATGGGATTGGGTGGAGAATGGGGTGGTTCTGCATGGAGCGATGGGATTGGATGGATGAGGGTTGGGGTCCTCTGGGGGGGGTGGTGGGGGTTGGGTGGTTGGTGAGAGGGGGGTTCTCATGGAGGGATGGGATTGGATGGAGCTTGGTTGGCGTCCCCCATGGAGGGGTGGGGTTGGGTGGAGCAGGGGGGAGGTTCTCAATGGAGTGATGGGATTGGATGGACATGGGGGGTTCTGCATGGAGGGATGGGATTGGGTGGACAAGGGTTGGGGTCCCATGGGGGGGTGGGGTGGGGGGGTTTGGGTGGGATTGGGTGGACAAGGGTTGGGGTCCTCCATGGAGGGATGGGATTGGATGGAGCATGGGGGGGGTTCTCCATGGAGCAATGGGATTGGATGGACCAGGAATGAGGTTCTCCATGGAGGGATGGGGTTGGATGGAGCTCGGTTGGGGTCCTCCATGGAGGAATGGGATTGGATGGAGCAGGGGGGAGGTCCTCCATGGAGCAATGGGATTGGATGGACCAGGAATGAGGTTCTCCATGGAGGAATGGGATTGGCTGGAGCTCGGTCGGTGCCCTCCCTCCATACAGGAGGCCACCACCAGGCCCCCCCCGTACCCCAGCCCCATAGAACCAGGCTCTTCCCCCTTGCAGCCCTCTCCTGCCCCCCCCACAGCCACTACTCCCCCTGCACCCGGAGCTGCCCCCTCACCTGCGCCGCGGTTTCGGGGTCCCCCCCCTGCACCCCGAGGTGCTTCGAGGGCTGCGAATGCGACCGGGGCTTCCTCTTCAGCGGCTCCCAGTGCGTCCCCATTGGCTCCTGCGGGTGCCTGCACCGCGGCCGCTACTTCCAGGTGGGCTCCTCTGGGGGAATGGGCCAATGGGAAACCTCCTCCTGTCTTGGCTTTCTACCCCTGTCCAATGGGAAACCTCCTCCTGTCTTGGCTTGCTACCCCTGTCCAATGGGAAACCTCCTCCTGTCTTGGCTTTCTACCCCTGTCCAATGGGAAACCTCCTCCTTTCTGGGCTTTCTACCCCTGTCCAATGGGAAACCTCCTCCTTTCTGGGCTTTCTACCCCTGTCCAATGGGAAACCTCCTCCTGTCTTGATGTTCTCCAATGGGAATGGTCCAATGGGAAACCTCCTCCTTTCTTGGCTTTCTACCCCTGTCCAATGGGAAACCTCCTCCTTTCTGGGCTTTCCACCCCTGTCCAATGGGAAACCTCCTCCTGTCTTGGCTTTCTACCCCTGTCCAATGGGAAACCTCCTCCTTTCTTGGCTTTCTACCCCTGTCCAATGGGAAACCTCCTCCTTTCTGGGCTTTCCACCCCTGTCCAATGGGAAACCTCCTCCTGTCTTGGCTTTCTACCCCTGTCCAATGGGAAACCTCCTCCTTTCTTGGCTTTCTACCCCTGTCCAATGGGAAACCTCCTCCTTTCTTCACTTTCTACCCCTGTCCAATGGGAAACCTCCTTGTTTCTTGATGTTCTCCAATGGGAATGGTCCAATGGGAAACCTCCTCCTTTCTTGCCCTTCTCCCCCTGTCCAATGGGAAACCTCCTCCTTTCTTGATGTTCT